TTGCACCCAACGGTCTTACGTCCAGGCACATTATCAACCAAATTCCAAACTTGGTTATCATACATGGATTGGATCTCGCTATCCATTGCCACTTTCCATTTCGCAGACTCCGGGCCTGCCATGGCTTCCTTATAGCTATTAGGTTCATCAAGGTTTATTAGTGTACTATCACTAATATAAGTGTCCCCTTCGGTAGTAATATGAAAACCATACAACTGGGGTTGAACTCTAACTCTTTCGGAACGTCTAAGAGGTAATGATACGTCAATTGGTTCAACCGGAGTTTCCTCCTCGGGTTGAGCGCCAGTGGTAGAGGTTCCTTCATCTATCGACTCTTGAATCTCTTCAAGATCGATTTGCCTCCCACTGTCTCCTTGGCTTATGAGTTCTCTCTCTCTCTCTCTCTCTCTCTCTCTCTCTCTCTCGGAAAATTCCTCTCCTCGCAACAAAGACAACATTGTCCTTCGGTCTATAGAAGAGATATCCAAAGGATTTCTGCGGGTAGCCGATGAATATACATCGCTCACTACTAGGTTCGAGCTTGTCATGAGTATCTCTTCTTACGAAAGCCTCGCAACCCCAAACCTGGATATGTGCTAACGAAGGAGCTTTCCTCGTCCACATCTCGTGAGGTGTTTTGGCAACCTTCTTAGTAGGGACTCGGTTAAGGATATGGGCGGCAGTCTCTAAGGCATACCCCCAAAAAGAGATAGATAGCGAAGCACGACTCATCATAGAGCGAACCATGTGCAACAAGGTTCGATTACGCCTTTCTACCACACCATTCAATTGTGGTGTCCTAGGTGGCTTCAATTGTGAAACTATTCCACACTCCTTGAGATAATCGTGGAATTCAAGACTTAGGTACTCTCCTACTCGATCGGATCGAAGCATCTTGATCTTCCTGCCCAATGATTCTCCACTTCATTTTTGAACTCTTTGAACTTTTCAAAAGTTTCTGACTTTTGCTTGATTAAGTTGATATACCCATATCTACTATAGTCATCGGTAAAAGTCACGTAGAAGCGGTTTCTAGTCTTCGTGGTATATCTAAAAGGTCCACACACATCGGTATGTATGAGGTACAATAGAACCTCACCCCTTTCGCACGTACCAACGAAGGGTGACTTAGTTATCTTTCCAAGTAAACAAGACTCGCATGTGTCATCTTCCCTAAGGTCGAATGACTCCAACACTCCATCCTTTTGGAGTTCGGCTATGCGTTTCTTGTTGACGTGTCCAAGACGACAATGCCATAAGGATGCCTTATCCATACTATTGGAAGAATCCATGCATAAAACATCATTTCCTAAGTTATCAACAATCATAACAGTTTCATAAATTCCATTACATGGTATAGCTTCAAAGTAAAAGACACCATTCAAATAAGCTAAAATAGAACCATTCTCATTATTAAAAGAAAATCTAAAACCTTGTCTAAACAAACCATGAAATGAAATGATGTTTCTAGCCATTTCTGGCGAATAGCAACAATTGTTCAAATCTAAAGATAAACTATTCCTAAGCACTAAAGAATACACTCCAATCTTGGTCAAGATGATCTTCTGTTCCCCATGATTAGATTTATTCTTCCATGCTCCACGTCTCTACTTCTTCTTAGTCCCTGCACATTAGAACAAATGTGGTAACCACAACCGGTATCAAGAACCCAAGAAGTATCATGAGATGAATCGTTAGATTTAATTATGTATATACCTGCGAAAGATGGCTTGATCTTTCCTTCCTTGATTGCTTGCAGGTACTCCGGGCAGCTTCTCTTCCAATGTCCTATCTTGTGGCAGTGGTGGCACTCTGCCTCCTTCGGGTTAGGGCATGGCTTAGCGGGATCAACTTTGGTCCCACTAGAAGAGGCACCATCTCGGGCTTTCACCTTGCGATAGTTCTTTGATGAAGCCTTCCTCTTCTTTCCCTTTCCTTGTCCAATTGCCAAGACAGGAGCGGCGGGCGGATTGGGAGTTGGTGCAACAGACTTGTCCTTGAAGTTGCTCTCAGTGACCCTCAAGAGACCTTGGAGTTTGCTTAGGGTAACCTCTTCTTTGTTCATGTGATAGGTCATGCTAAATTGATTGTAACTTGGAGGCAAAGAGTGAAGCACCATGTCGATCGCCAAGTCTTCCTCATAGTCAACGTTTAACTTGCGAAGGCGGTCGACATACCTTTGCATCTTTTGCAGTTGCACAGTAAGAGACTCTCCATGACCCATCTTAGCAGAAATCATGTTAGTGAAAATCTCACATTTTGATGGTATCTCTCAAATAATTCTTGGTGCATTTCGTACGGATACATATCCTCGTAGGACTTTTGGAATTCGGGGTTCATAGTCGCGATCATGATGCAATGTACTTTCGTTGCATCACGCTCGTGAGTTTCGAAAGCGGTCATTTCGGCGGGAGTAGCGATTTCGGGATTGATTTTCTTGAGCTTCTCATCGAGGACATACTGCTTATCCTCATAGCGAGCAACCGTGCGAATGTATCTTATCCATTCGCTAAAGTTCGTTCCATCAAAGGTGACCTTTTGACAAAGGCTCATCAAAGTGAATGAACTCGCAGCAGCGTTGTTAGCGTTCGACTTCTACAATAGAAAAGACAAAGATTGATTAGAATGTGAATCCATAATTATCACCCAATAAGAAAAAATTAGGGCTAGGATCGAACAACAATATTTACATATTAGAAAAAGGGATGCCGTAATCTAACATGCAAACAATTTGAAGGTAAGTGATTGACGATCACTAATTCTCCACCATGAAAAACATAACATTAAGTCCTAAATGTATTGAGAATTCCTAGGTTCGGATGAGATTCATTGAAACTTTTTCAATGGCATGTTTAAATCTCGATATGCCCCTCTTGTTTGTGACTGGGATACCGTGGATCACAAAGCGGGTGTGAATTACCATGCAAATTCACATGGTGCCTTCATTGTAATGATCACCTATTCGATGTGCTGGTAAACCACACACGCTCCATCGAACTATGATAAACAATGAATCACCCTTTGCCACCTTCGCTTAGAACCAATTAGTGTGATGATAAACCACACACGCTCCACTAACTTCTTAGCAAGGTGCAAAGTGTAATTTCATGGGATTGCATCAATTCACTTTTCCTAAAGTAACTAAGATTGGGAAATTTTAAGAAAACATGTAGTTACTTTGTATTTCTTATTATACTTTTAATGAGAGGATGAGGTTGCCCTATCCTACCCGTTCGGCTAACGACCCTCCACCGATCAAGTAAGCGCTGGGTGTGAGTGTACACCCATTAAGCGCCATTTTATAGGCCGCAACCTTATACCCACCTTATAGACCGACTTCGTGAATGAGGCCTACTAATGGTAAGACTAGCATTTAAGTTATACATATATAGATATTAATCTTGTAATATTATATTAGTATAGGGTTGGATTTTAAACTTGTAAAATTCTAGGGTTTGAAATTTAAATCGTCTAAATTAAACTTTTAATCACAAAACCTAAATTTCAAAACTTGAGGGCAAGTTTTAAACATTTAAAACATAAAGGATCAAATAACAAATAATTCAAATTAACAATTAATCACATAATTATCCATATTTGATTTCTTGAAAAACAATTTACCAATTTAATCAAAATAATTAATAATTAGAGTAAATTACGCGAATGGTCCCTGTGGTTTAGTGTAAATTACACGCTTGGTCCCTAACTTAATTTTCTAACTCGGACTATCCTCAACTTTTAATTATGTAACCCGCCTAGTCCCTATTCTCACATTCCGTCAATTGTTTCCGTTAGACACCCCATGTGCCTTGCAAGTTGGGGGTATAAAAGTCTTTTCACATTTCCAACGACCTTGAAATACTAATTTTTCATCAGGATCGATCCTAATTTAGAGTTTTTTTCAATCCTCCATCGTTTGAAACAGTTACACCTAATCTCCTTCAAATCAAGGATGGTTCAATGCGATTGTGGGCGTGCTGCTGTAATTCGGACTTCAACTACTAACAATAATCTAGGAAGACCCTTTTACGCATGTCAAATTAAGGTATGTTGTAGTTGAGAATTTTGTAATCGTAACCCTAGATGGGGATATCACTGATGCGTTTATAGGTATTGTAACCATGGGTTTTGAAATTGACAGGAACCACGTAAAGGATTTATTGCTTGGGTAGATGATGATGAAAAGGATCATGGTGACAGATTGACAATGTCCTAGCTTGTGAGGTTGAACAAGAAGCTGAAAAATGAAAATCTTTTCTTCAAAATATGTTTATTTATTAGTTGGGTATTGTTCTTGGTGATACTTGTTTACAAGTTGTATGGTGGGGATGAGTTGTTATTGTAATGGTAAAGTCTTCTGTAATGGTTAGGTTGTAGCAATGTATGTGATGGTATCATTATCTGTAATGGTTAGGTTGTAGCAGTGAATGTGAAGGTATCCTTTTCTGTAATGGTTAAGTTGTCTATGTATTGTAATGTAGATGGTTAAGATTTTTAAGATCAATGAAAATGGTGTTTATGTATTGGTTAGGTTGTCTATGTATTGTAATGCAAATGTACTGTAATGGTTGTAGCAGTGTTGTATTGATTATGTTTTAAAGTGATGTATAAGCAGCATATTGACCATTAATTAGTACCAAACTATAACAGGGCAATGAGGGTGACATCATAAGAAGCATATAACAATCTAATTTAATACCAAACTATTATGGAAAATATAAATGTAAAAATCAATATAAACCAAATTATTATCTACCCAATGGTGTATCATAAGAAGAAAACATTCCATTAATTAGTACCAAACTATTACAGGGAAATGAGGGTGACAAACTAGTTCATCCAAAAGTGCCAACATATTGGCTAAAACAAGTATCAAAATACTGCCCCTATTACAAACTATTCATAAATAATGTACCAAAATATTAGCCCTATTACAAGCAGCAACATAACACAATCCATTCATATTTAAAGTAACAAAAGACTAGCCCTATTACAAACCATCAAGTGGTTGCCTTCCCTTTCCCTTTTCCTTTGACTTGTGATTGTCCACCACCCCCACCAATAATTGGTCTTTGCCCTTTGCAGGTTTTTGCATTGTGACCAACATTGTTACACTTCGTACATGTTACTGATCTATGGGCCCTCGATGCTGTGTTTCCTCTAACAAAGTCCTCCTTTTCCACAATTGATATTGATCTCTTCTTCTTTGGTCTTCATATATGGGAACACGATGTTTTGGAGGCAACAGAGTTGTTGGTATAGTTGACTTCTCCCACATGGACCTTCCATTGATTGGACTAACCTTAAAAGAATACATCTCTTTCCAGCTTGATAACCAGTAACATGGATGCACAAATGATTATGGGATTCCCACATCTTTGTCATTCCTCCCCATGTCTTCAAATAGCAGCCACACCATGTTTGCACGGAATTCCTGTTAATTCCCACCTTTTTCACGTGCAACTTTGTTGACCTACATCCACAATACACTGATCTTGCCATGGTCCAGCAACTTGATATTTTCCAGCACCACAAAATGTTGCAACATACTGTTCTGCCTTACTCTTTATCTTATCCAATATTGTTGTAGCTGTAGGAGTCAAAGGACCTACAACTTTCTGAATTTCCTTGTCAACTTTGACTATCTTCTTCATAATGTACTCTCTGATGAACTCAATGCAGTTAATAATTGGTGCATCATGACCATCTTCTATTTTGCTGTTGAATGCTTCACACAAGTTATTAGTTAGAGCATCACAATGTTCTCTCCCTGAACATAAACAAATTCTATGTCAGTATTCAATTTACCTTCTTTTAAAATTATTAAGTAGAGATCGAAAGTCATTATACCAGTAAAGTGGGAGCGAGCCAAACTTTGAGGAGGTATTTGTTTCAGCCACTCATAAGCATCATTGTTAAGCTTCTTTAGTTTTTCCATTGCTTGATGAAAGTGTTGTACATTAGAGGTCGTGGCACATTCCCAAAGAAGATCCTTGAACACCTTTCCCCTCCAGTTCTTTTTCATGTTGTCGTGTATGTGACGAAGACAATAGCGATGCTCTGCACATGGAAATAGTGTTGCAATCGCAGGCAACAAACCCTAGCAATAGTAACATGTTTGTATGTTAGTATAACTGCATCAATAGTATAAAACTATAAAACCTAGTTTGGATAGGTTCCAATACCTTTTGCCTGTCACTCATAAACGTGAAATTGGAATTTGTTCCCAAACCTAAGTCATCACCCAAATTACTTAAAAACCAAGTCCAAGAATTCAATGTTTCTGATTCAACCACAACATAGGCTAAAGGATATATCCCATTATTACCATCCAATGCCTTTGATAAGAAACATAAATTACCAGAAAACATTGGTCAGTTAACACTACTTAAAATAAAGAACATACAATACAAAAAGAAATAAAAAGATCTTACCACAACAGACAAAACTTGGCCTAGATATGGACCTTTCACGAAGGCTCCATCAAGTCCAAGAAAGTCCCTTCTTCCCGCTGCAAAACCTCGCTTCAAAGCTCCAATGCAAACATAGATACGCCTGAATGTTCTTGTCTCAACAGTTGGATTCGCTTCACTTTCAACATCAATTTTAACCGTAGTATCTGGGTTACGTGCTTGTACCTCTAAAACATAATCCCTTAACAACCTGTATTGGCTGGCATAATCTCCTTGAACATGCTTTAAAGCTTGTGCTTTGCCCTAAAAGTTTTCATATGCGAAATGTCCATCTGGTACTCACGTTGGAGTTGCTCTCGTAAAGCCCTAATAGGAATCTTTGGGTTTGTCTCAATAACTTGTACTATATGCTCTGAAAGGAACTTATAGTCACATGCTTTGACTTTCCTTGTTTGTAGACATCGATGCTCCTTCGTGTATGTCTTAACCATCCAATCTATGTCACGCTTCCACTTACTACAATATATAACCCATGGGCATTTCTCTTCTTCATTAGTAGCAAGATTTGGTATAGTGCCCTTACACACAAACCTAACCCTATTCTTATCATTTTTCTCTAATTGTATTTCCCTTCTTGTCTTATGGAATGTAGTTTCACTTGTGTCTTAAAGTCCTTAGATGAACTGAAAGTTTGAAAAATGTAGAAGGGCTCACTAACCAAAGCTGCATCATTTTCATAAGCCCTATGTATGGCCCTAATAGTTTTCCTTCGCTTACCATCATTTGCCTCATCTGATGAAGACCCAGACAACAAAACCTCTGTGTTGATCACTTCTAAGTCACCTTGTTGTGTATCTTCAGGTACATTACTTTCAGAAGAACCTCCAACCCATTCTACATCCTTGTCAATGTTCATATGGAAATCTTTCATATCCACATCAACATCGTGTATGAGATTGTCCTCATCAATAAAAAATCACTATCTTCACTCTCACTATCATCATCAAACTCATCATTTCCACTGCCATTGTTGTGTCCACTACCATCATAATCATCCTCATTCTCTACATTCATTTCAAATTCAATATGGTCGACCAAAGATGGTTCTTTGTCCAAATGACTATCATTCTCAACTTCTGTTAGGTCTGGAACACTCTCATGCTCAATTGGAGAGTCATTCCACTCCAAGAACAACTGTTTGGAGCAAGCTGGTGGCTCTTTAATTTCAACAATTTTAACCTTACTAGGGTTGGGGGACATAGAATAAGTATGTAAATTTGTTTTCCCATGCTCAATATATACATCTATTAGCTTATGGTTAGCAACATACGTACCCAGATGATGAACATCCTGATCTGAACCCAAAGCAAATAACCCAAAATCCAAATCGCCAAATGGTCTCAGGAAATGATAATAGAGTAGTGTTTCGTCTGAATCAATATGCCCAAGTTCCTCCATCATCTCGTCAATGTCGTGAATGGAAAAGGTGTCAATGTCTAGTAAATCAACATAATTTTGCTTGCCTTTGATGTACTTTCTTCCAGGGAACTTTGTAAACTGTCCACCATGGTGTAATCGGACAGAGAATATCGTCGGATGTCCGACTGTATATTCACGGAAAGATTGGTTAGTCACATTTTTCTTTTTAAGTTACTAACTGATTGAGGGAGTAAACACTTACCATATCTACGAGCAACGTCAATCTCGTCCATGGTAGCACGTATCCTCCAAGGCGCCATCGTCGTTTTCAAATGTAGGGTTCTTTCGATCAAGGGTTTTCAAGGGTTTTCAAAGGGTTTTCAAAGGTTTTGTCTGTGAAGCTTGTGTCTGATCACGTTGATTAACAATACGTCCTTTTTTTCTTGGCGGTATAACATTGGATATGTGAAAAGACTTTTATACCCCCAACGTGCAAGGCACGTGGGGTGTCTAACGGAAACAATTAACGGAATGTGAGAATAGGGACGTGGCGGGTTACATGATTAAAAGTTGAGGACAGTCCGAGTTAGAAAAATAAGTTAGGGACCAAGAGTGTAATTTACACTAAACCACAGGGACCATTCGCATAATTTACTCTAATAATTATCATATAAGGAAATTAAATATTTTATTAATTGATAAATCTCTTCAATTAGATCAAAAATATAGTCATATATATCATAAAATCGGATTTGGGTTGATCTAATATGATTAAGGTAAGTTTCCATAAGATAAATATGAAAAAATCTCATTTTTGGCTATTCCTGACGCTCAGACTCGCCGAGTACCCAAACTGGACTCGCCGAGTTAGGCCAACTCGCTGAGTTCACTATGGGACTCGCCGAGTCCATGACTCAGAAACACAAAATTCGAATATTGCAGTTAGCATTCAAACAATTAAGCATCAATTTAATAGAAACCAATCTAGGCTCTGATACCACTGATGAGTTTTGTACATAAGAACTTTCCTATGTGATCATACAAACCCTAATGCTTGGATCTAGGTTTCTCTAATTAAACATGCATTGAATCCAAGACTCCTAATGGCTAATTAGGTATAAGAACAACGAAAAACCAGAGTTAGAATCATACCTTGAAACACTTGTTTGATCTTCTTGTTCTTGGAGCTTTAGAGTCACAATTGTCACTCCTCTAATGGCTTACAAACACCAACTAGCAAAGAGAATGATTTGAGAGAGAGAAGAGAGGAGGAAATCGGCCAGGGTATCCGTTCTGTAGAGGAGGTGTTGATTTCCTATCTCAAGGGGTCTATTTATACTTGTAAGGCTCCTAGGGTTTCACCCTTAAACCCTAATTGGATAACTTAGACTCTAAGCAATCCCAATCCTTTCCATAGATAAGCCATGGACGATTTTATGGCTATCCTTAGCCCTAGAAATCGTCCACCCTCTATCATAAACGGATTTACAGCCCAAAGTGTAACTATCAAACAATTGGCAGTTTATACCCTCTTATTTAATTAATCTCTTTAAGTCACTAAATTAATACTAATTAATCTATGACTTATATTAATCAAATAACAATATTATTATTCCTTATATTATTTTCATAATATATTAATAATATCTATTCTCTCATAATAAATCATCCTACCAAGTTGCTATGGTGAAGGCAACCGAAAAGGACCATGCACAATCGGGTCAAATACTTGCCCAATATAGTTGCAGCCTTAGACACTATTCCAACACATATAAAATCCGACATCATGACAAATCTATGGGTAGTGTAATCACTTAAACATAGAGACGATGGTACCTAGCATAGATCATATAAGAGAGACCTAATTCCAATACACATACTACTGATCCTGATCCTGCTGTAAATTTCCTAATGATGGAAACGATATCATATCCCAAAATGTTGTGCCAGTAGCTGAGCCATCTCGGTCATCTCTCCGATGACTTCATCCCGTTCTTGCTCAGCTTGCATGAATCTTGCTTCCATAGGAAACAACTACAGTTGAAGTGTGGCAACCTCTTCGTCCAGCGAACGATCCTCACCAATGAGATCCTTTGGCGGAGAAGGGTGGTCCTAATGTGCCTCATCAGTATGTGGTTCTACAGGGGTCTCATTCCCATTCCTATCTCCCTCCATGTCTTCGTCAGTCCCCTCAAAATCATATTCGGTATCGGTGTACTCGTCGGGTCCAACGTCATGTGCTGCTCCTTGTCCTTCCTTGGGGTCGTCTTCAATCATTCCGTTGGCCACAATGGCCTGGGAAAACTGAATGCCTTGATGATCCTATTCCATGGTGACTATGATGAGGAACACACAAGGAGGGTATATAAATAAACTATGATTATCCCTAAGATGTTTTAGTTGTTAAAAAAATTGGTTTGATGTTCTCTTCTTGGTTAACAAAAGGGTATGTCTTAGGTTTACCGACCATCGTGATCGCCCAAGGCCATGTGATAGTTATTCTGGAGGAAATGTAGTTGAAAAGGCTACATTCACCCCTAATACAACTGTGAACAATCATGGCTTAACTGAGATGTCAAGATTTTGCAATCGTCTTATTTGAATTGTTATTATGTTGATTTTCCTAAGGCGCACAAGTAAGAGTGTTTATTATTATATTTTATTTGTTCTGTTCAGAGTTATTTATTCCCACTTTGGGTTTATAGTTTCATATCAATGTGTGGTTAGATATGTCAGTTTACTATAAAAAGAGGTCTGATACAAACCTGTCACACCCTCTAACCGAACGGCGGAAACATCCGAGGGCTCGCGTGACTATGACTTGAATACCATTACAATGAATATACATGAACAAACACATATATCACCAATATTACATAGTAAAACTATCATTATTCACATCAAGTACATTGTCTAAATATTACATATCCATATCATAAAATTGTTTTGAGAATGGTTAACATATATAATGTTGGTGAGTTCATAAGCATGTTTGATAATAATTGTTTTGTATTATTTGTAACACCCATGAAATCTGAGACATGTAAAAGTGATTGTTGTTCAAAATTTATTCTTCAATTATAGTTACTGTATGTAGGAGTGAATAATGTTGTTCCCCCGGAAAACCCGCTGTTTTCCGATATAAATAATATGATAGTTTTGTATTATTGTATCATCTCAACGAATGAATAAGATTTCTCATGATTACTTAGCTGGTAATGGATCTCTATGTGAGTCGTTACAACCATTCATAATAATGACTAATTCGCATGTCTTGGCATATTTCCAAACACCGGTTTTGATCAAGATTTTGTCACCCTAGATTGGCCGAACCTAACTGTAGCGAACAACTCAAGTGTGGGGGAGTCACCACCGTATAGATATAAAAATTTATATTTGACTATTTGGCCAAAAAAACATTTAGTTTGACCATTGCAGCCCCTTTAACTATAAAAATGGCTCTTTTAGTCCCTTTTTATGAAAACCGACATTTTTGGTCCTTAAACAATTTTTTTGACATTTTTCACACAAACTTTATATATATAAAAATTTCAATCCAAAACTATTTTATTTGTCATTTCCATCGTTTATTTGTAAAAAGTTTAGATTTTTAGCATTATATTCGGTAAGTTTTACAATTTTGACCCCGAAATCAAAAACTTTGCAATTTTAGACCAATTATTGCATCAAAGTCATTTTCAGCCCCCGAAATAGCTTATTTACGTTTTAGACACATAGTTTGTTAATTTTTCCATTTCAGCCCCTCAAATACTTCATTTTCGCGACTTTGGGCCCAAAACCCGTGAGGCCCAAATTTAAAGCCTGTTAAGCTAAAATTTATGTCTTCGACCCCTAGACAAGTGTTAATTTCAGGAAAGTTAGATTTCTATGTAAATAATACTATTTGGTCCTTTAAAAACCAAAAATACCATATTTTACCCCAAACTTTTATTATTTCGGCAAAAATGACACTTATAAGAATTTTGATTTTTGTTTTCACTTCTTAAGCCTAAAGATCCTTAGATCTTTGAAGTAAGTTGTTTAATACGTACATTGTTTATGTATTCTTCACACTTTAGCCATAAATTTAAAGATTCGGCAAATAACTGATGGGTTTTGAGCATTCTAACACTTCCTAAGTGTACATGCAACCCTAATAACCATGGATCTATGTTTGTCTAATTATCATGCAAAGTTGAGTTCCAAGGTTACATTCCTATCTAGCATACATGGGGAAAAATTTTTAACTTGAATGAAAGATAGAATAACATACCTTGTTGTTGCGTATTTTCCTTGAAACCTTATGAGCCTAGCACCCCAAGTGTGATGCCTCAAATTCTTCACACAACACCAAATGCTCTTGGAAAGACTTTTGAGAGAATACACACTTCTAGAAATTGGCCTAGCCCTCTTGTTTCATATGTGTAGCCAATTTTGGTGGAGAATGGGATCCTTATATAGTGTTGACACATCTAGGGTTACACCATGTAAACCCTA